AAAAAAAAAACGTACATTGTAGGTAAGTTTATCGTAAGTATTGTATTTAAGTAGTTTATTGTAATTAACATGTTATAGGTATATTTATTGTAATAAAAATGTTTGAAAAAAAAAAACAAACAAACAAACAAAAAAAAAACAGCTCAGTAAAACATTTTAGTCACCGTATCTAGTTGCCGGACTGCACTGTTTGCTTCAGAGCTAATATCAAACAAAGGCAAATTATCAATTTTCGGTGACATTTTACTCACCAAAGCACAAGAAAAGTAGCCGAAAATACGCCACCAGAATTACTAACCAACGCACAAAGAAGGTGACCAAAAGAATTACTCTCACAGTTCCACGGTCAGATCGTCCCACTTATAATTAGTTAGATAAATATAGATCACTCTGCAATCCGCGAGTAACCTCGAATGCAAGTTCTGAGTACTGCTTTCATGATCGATCAGAAAGATGAACTGTTTGACACTACCAATATATCCAAAATGGCGGTTCCACCCTGGATTGAGAATGCATTATATTAATGGACTTACAACCCGACGAGAAGAGTACAACCCCATTATTAATAGAGATACAGGCTCAGACACTCTCGATGTGAGCGAGTTACTGAAATAACTCACCCTTTTCATCTTCCTCTTCCTCCTCTTCTTCGTCCTCATCTTCGTCGCTTGATTCAAACGTGTTGTCAGGAATGTCATAAATTCTAACCATACCCTAGGAAAAGAAAAAAAACGTCGCCAGCAGCCATGCAAATTTACTGGAACAAAACAGTGTTCACATAAGAAATGAGTCCCACAGGACTGGCCTGGGACACCAACATAGCAACAGATTGTTCTGGGAAGCTAATATGGCTGCCGTGACAATATGCGAAAACACTCTACACTACACGATTGTATGACTGCCGTAGAGGCCAACCTTTAAACTATAAAGTAAAGCTATGTTCTGAAATTAACAGAACTACTTGTAAAGTCTCACAAAACGATGGAAAAATGCCATGACACATGAAAAGATGATCAACACAGCTAGCAAAGACCTTCAAGGAAAAGCAACAAAACAGGATAAAACCTACCAGTAATCACAGATTAACTTAGAGCGTTTGATTCGCGGAATGATTTAAATAATAACCAAACTTACTCCAACTTAAATAACAAGGACAGTCCACTTCCCCTCAGTCTAACACTATAATTTTACACCCAGTTTCTTGAACTACCCCAGTTTTCAAAACAAATTTTCGTTTCCCTTGGAGGTTCCAATAATCGGGATTCCACTGCGTTATCAAATACCGTTAACATTTTGTATATGACACGATAATAATACGCGTTGTTAACACGCATTCCAATAAAAATAAAGTTTATAACGTTCTGGCGATAGTTACTCACCTTTAGAGGGTCTTTAAGTATAAGATACTTTCCATCTGGTAATTTCATGCAGGTATCTATGATACAGCGCAGGATTCCCCAGGCATTATCCATGTTTAGAGCTATCTGAGTAGCAAACTCCTTTGGACGGAACTGTTGTGTGCCAAGGATTGCGTGCTTTGATGAATCCAGATAGTTTACCCGAGACACATACCTGTTGGGGACACAATAGCCATTTGACTGAAGTTGTAATCAAAGAACTCTATTTGTAACTAATTTTAATAACCACAAACACAGCATCAGGGGCGGGCATCTCGTTTATCGATACAGCGAGCGTTTACATCGTCACCATAAAGAAATTACAGCAGTAAATAAACAATAAAGCAAAGTTGAAAGAGATACCTTCGAGTGGCTCTTGCATAACTTGCAAAAACGTAAATAGCCTAATAGCCCCTAGGGATTCATCATACCAGCAAGCACGCCTGTTACGCCGTAAAATGTAATAATCGCCGCAAAATGTAATACTAACCCAAAATGTAACAACAATCGCCGCAAAATGTAATACTAACGCAAAATGTAATGAAGTTATCAGCGCGAAATATAATAACTTTCCANAAAGAAAGTTGTTAGTGTGTTTTTGTGTAGACTGATTTTTGTTTTTGTCCCAGACAACTGAGTCAACAGTTCAGTTGGTAGAGCACTTGGCAGCATCAGAGTGGTCGTGGGTTGGAATTCAATTCATTCCTGAATTGTTTTGCCAATTCATTGGCATCCAGAAGCAAAAATGTACAAACAGTAAACAACAAAGGCATAATTAGAAACAACAGCCTGCCAATCACATGTGTTACAATCTAGATGCAAGCAAGCCCTTATATCGATTTACTACTTAAAACAACTAATACTTTGGATACCAGGCAGGGGAAAAAAATTGAAATCCACTTGCCAAGTGGGCCAGTAAATTTCAGTTTTCACTTGCCCCCACTTAAATGTTACGCGCCGCAAGGCAGCCAGTATGGCAATCAGGGGACAAATGCGAACAAAGTATGCTTGGATCCCAACTAATCCATGTTTTCAAATCAAATTTTTGCTCATTTTACTCATTTTTTTAAAATAGTTTCTTACTGGAAATTGTCATTTATCAAGCTGACATTTTTATTCAGGTTCTCAAGACTACTGAGACTAATTTCACTTGTCCAGTGGACACTGAACTTCTATTTTCACTTGCCCAAGAGTAAAATTTACTTTCCCAGGCAATCAGACCCGAGTTTTTTCCTGCCCTGTTGTAGTTAGGTTTTTGATCTGGACTATATTACGTACTCTCTGTACAGGTACTGCCTAAGTAAATAAAAAAATAGTAATTATCCCAAAGAAAACGAACCATATTTAGTCAAAATCAAGAAATAAGACACAATCATGTAAAGTATTCCCCTACCCCTACAAAAAATCTGTCTTACCCTAGTTTGAGGTACTCTGATCCAGCTAGTATAGAACTAACAGTCCACTTAGCCAGTTTACAGCTGTTATTTCTCAGTTCTGTTGCTAGTACAGCACCCCGCTGTGAGTCTAGCTTCTGACGCCAATCAACACCAATTGCCTGAAGAAAATACCATAGTCAAACACTAAACTGAGTAATCTAACATAAACACAGTGACACTCTTGCCATCGAGGGGGAGCGGACATAGTCTTCCAAAGCACAGAAAAATTCTGATGTCAGCTTGTTTGCCATGAGGACATAAACTACTTCACAATTTACTTTCGAGGCTTCTATTGCTGGCTTGTGAAACAAATAGAAATGGAACAGTTCCAGGTCAGCTAAGTCAACCAAGTGGGTGGTAAAGGGTATTTTTATAAATCAGTAGTTCTTTTTCTAGTTAACAGTGATATGTCAGTAGCCGTGCACAGTGATTTCCAAAAAACAATCATTCCCGTGAAATTAGAAATAAGTGTCATTCTCATCCCCAGAAGCCGTGCTTCTTTTGGTCAGCACCAAGAATCGCGACCTCTGGCTGGATCCAATTTTCTGCGCGTGCGCAGAGTATTTCTTTCGTATTCTCAGCCAATCAGATTTGTCAGAATTGACTCTGAGCATGAGCAGAGTCACGGGAAGTCCGGGAATCGCGGACTTCCGGTGCTGGACTAGGCCAGATTGATTCTTTGATTATTTGATTATGTCTTCTGTTACTTTTGGGTTAGCGTGATAAACATTGGATAACCATGAAAGCCAATTGGTGGAATGTGGTCTTCTTTGTGCTGCGTCCAGCAAGACTGTGCTTTGGACATTAAGTTTCACAACCTATAAGTTTCGTAAGTTCGTGTGAAAAATGTTCCCCTCTCTCGTGAAACGTGAAATCAGTATCTTACTTTCCATTAACTGTGAACTTTAATTGTATCCTATACATAGCTGCTTATTTTTTTTCAGTCGTATGGTTGTTATAGGCAGCTAATACCATATTTGTAAGCTTCAAATTAATGTATTCTTCTTCTTCTTTATTTCATTTGTTGGTATAAATAAATGTTGTTGTTGCTGTTGTTGTGAATGGACCTTTGTTATTTTTCATGAAACGTATTCTAGACACCCCCCAGTCCCCCCACCCACCCACCCCCACTTTACCACCTTCAACTAGGCTGGTTAAACAGGTTACTAAAAAGGGTTACTGATCTATTATACATAAAGAATAACATGTTCTGAGATTTTGCTTTATCCTTTTTGACAAGGATACAAAGAAAGAAGAAACTGAGAACTTAGGAGTCACAAGCAACCAGCAACTGCTAACTGCCAACATCTAGCCTTGAATACTGCCACTCTGTATGTTAAAAATGTGAATGTTATGCTAAGGATACCAGTAACTGACAATGAGCATTACCTTTTTTACATTTTCCGAACTTTTCAAATTTTAAAACAAAGAAAGACTGAAAAATGTTAACATTGCATGTCATTTCATTTTAAATGATAATGCAATCAATGTGTCTGGATTATACATCACACCCAGCTGGTAAACGACCCAGGCATGCGAAAAGATCTAGATGTTACTGTTCCTCAAATATGTGGTCACCACAAGTATTGATAAACTTGCAGTGTGTAGCTTTTGAGGACTAAATCTAATGAAGGAGACATCATGTACAGGCTTTGTTTTCCTTTTTGTTCTCTTGTGCCTGTCTTTGTTCTTTAGTTGTAAGTTCGAAAGCACAAGACACAATGTCAAAGCGATAAAAGATAGCTAACCACTTCATATACGGCGAAATGTGACGTTACGCTCCAATAGTTTCAACGAATTCTCCTCTCCTCAAGTGAAAAGCGTAACCAAATCGATATGTCGCCGTTTCTCGTTAGTCTCCTCGAGCGGGTTCCCGAGCAGTCAAAGCAAATATTTGGATCAATCCTCTTCCAACGAATATTGACGTCGCAGAATCTTCGTATTACGAAAATTAGCGTTACTTGAAATTCTAAGCAGCGTGGTTCTTAATTGAAGAGTTCGACAAGGGTGAATATTTTTGCTTTACGCGGTTTATTTCATAGCGTCAATTCATCCGAGATTAGCGTCATTACGAACATTACCGTCCTTTTAAGACATAGTGAGTCTTCGTGAAGAGATCTAGAGACCAAGACATATTTTGTTTTCACGCTGTTTCACAGAAGGTGTCGTGGTGAGTAAACCAGCGCTTTCTATCTTTTATTAACCTTTATTATGTTTTTCTTAAGAGATACTTTTTTACTATGCCACGGCTTTCGAAGTTCTCGTCAATGTGGAGGACTGAAATACTTTAAAAGATACTTTCCAGCTTTAGATCGATCTCGGCCCTAACTGGATACAAACTGGATATCCATATTTGCTCCCCATTCTTTAAGACAAGTAACATTGTAATTATTGATCCTTAATTCATTTGGTTGTCGTGTTAAAAATATGGTTGGAGAGTCAGATGCTGATTATATAGCCAATTTATAGTCACTTTCAGTAACTTTTAACTTCAGAAGCAGTTCCTCAAATGTAATACATTCATCTTCTTTCATATCATTTATTCTTTTAAGAGATTTCCAAGTGTCTTTGTGTTGTTTTATGTTGGGTCGAGGTGTATTATTCTCTAACGGATAAAGTATTTCAGTTGCCCTCATAGGTGGTTTTGGGTAATTAAATCAACATTCATTCTTTGATTTCTTTCTATAGGTATGAGAATACCTGCGAATCAGCCTATCAACCAGCTTTTGCAGTTCCAGGTCATTAACTGGCAATTGACAACAGATAATGTTATCAATAAACTCCGTAACAATAGCATCATCATCAACTCCAAATACCTGGTGCATTTTCTAACCACATAAGCATGTGAATGTGAGGTGAACCTCGTTGCTGGTATTCCTCTTTGTAGAACCAGTCAGAAATGTTTCCTAATGTTAGTGCTTCACCATTTTTTCTGACATACCTGTTTCCATGTGTATGTTAGTTCATTTTGAGACATATTCATGCTATGGCACTCAGGAAAAATTAGCGAGGGTGAGGGAAAATTACGACAAAATAAAAAGGCAACAAAGTATAAAAATGGCAGAAAGAAACAGCTGATACTCTACTTTGCATAAAAATTTATCCTGACATACCTGTTTCTCGTTGGATGTACGTTAGTTCATTTTGGGAAATATTCGTGCTGTGGTGCCCTGGAAAAATTAGTGAGGGCGAAGGAAAATAACGATGAAATGAAAAAGCAACGAAGTATAAAAGAGGCAGAAAGAAACACCTGATACTCCACTTCGTATAAGAAAATATCAATACTGATAAAACCATTTCTTACGCCTGCATGGGGCATACAACACTACACTAATTCTAAAGCTTTTCAACCCAATAACAGAAATTACAAAACGGCAAAATACAAAGACATATTTACAACCCACAATTACATTAGTCACAAGAAATTTCTCAGGACATAACAAAATCTGCATGTAAACTATCAATTTTCAGTATCCACCCTGCACTAGACACATGTTCGCATTGCGGACCTATTTTTATCCTAGTCATGCAATTTATTCCTTTGTAAAATAAAAACGTATCGTCATGCGTGCATTTAAGTCATCATTTTCCAAATTGAAAACAATTTTGTAACTCACAATTACAGACGTTTCCGTCGAACTGTGTTGTAAACAGAGACGTATGTTTTCTTGTACAGAAAAAGCAGCTGAAATGAAGAGCATCCTACATCACTGCATTACGTATTTTTGACAGGGGTGTCATTAAAGGGCCGGCAGCCCGCAAAAATCAACTGATGGCTATTTTCATCTCATTGTACCAGTATTGATGATGAAAGTCTTACAGTTATTAAAATACCATCGGAAAAAACCTGTAAAGAATCCGTTTCCCAGTTTTATGGACGTTAGCGCTAATTGTTTCTGCGCATCCTTACTGCGCAGATAAATTCACACGCCACGTCATGCATCGAGCGCGCCCTAAGTAATAAAATGAACAATGATAGGGCAGATGGCCATTGCTATAACTTTGCCTGGATCATTGATGGATTATTTTCTCTACCGATTTTCTACGTTTAGCGAAAAAATGAAGAAAATATATCGATGAGAAGTTTGAATGTTTTGCAAAATGCACCATCGAATTCCATTCTTCTTACAATGTAGTTCTTCGTTTGTCTGTGCGGCAGTTTCAAATACCTCTTGAAGGGTTAAGTTCTGTGAAAACGTTGGCAACATTTGGAATTATTAACGCAACAGATTAACTTATACAAAATATTACATGCACTAGGATAGTTTGTCTCCGTTGATTCATCTTTGTTATTTTAAGCTAAAAACCCTGGAGGCCACGCTGATTTACACGCGCCAATTTTTCAAAATCAGACTACTTTTCCACAAGCTTTATCTCTGAAAGGAAGTCCGTGACCCCCATTAGATTATCTGTCCGCAGTAGAAGTTTGAAGAAAATCTATCGAGTAGAACATTTTCGCACAAACGTCCTCAAGTCGCAATCGATACATATTTTAACAGTTTAAGACGTATGAAACGATTCCACAGTCGGAGCTTGCTTGATGCTCCTGCGATCGTCCTGGAATACCAGGGACATTTTCAGTGAATACTTCCCAGTCACATGCGTAATCTAAAACACATGGAGTCTGCAGCAAAGGAGTAGCTATGGACATGAGGATCTTGATCAACTTCACGGAGCTGCTTCACGGTTTGCGCATCTTGAAAAGTTTAGCCTAAATGTTTCAAGTTCGTCGTTTGCACTCCGTGTTAATCTTCTCCATCCTTAACCATCATTATTATTGTCTCTTTCATGGTGTTTTCCTATCTTAGTAAACAACTATTTTCAGGTTTCCTTCAATTTAAAGGTAATTTTGCAAGTGGCTAAAACAACTCGAAATGCCGTGACTGAGCTAGCTCCTTTGAAGGATAGAACGCGTAGTTTCCACTGCCTTCTCGGTTGCAGACAAAGAAAAGGGTTCTGCCACCAAATTTGGAGCCCGAAGAAGAAGACACGGAAGAAGTCGCACTTTTAGAAAGTGACAAGTGGAAGACAGGGAAGAAGTGCCAAACTTGAAACGAAATCAAGAACAAATAGCGACCTCAGTTCCCTAGATGCCAGTGCCTTCGTACATACATAGTACATATATACGTTTTATTTAAATACGGTAGAGAAATTAGTTATATTNCCATTTGTAACTAAAGATAGCAAACATCTCGTGGGAACAAGTGGTGACGATTCGTCAGCTCTAATTGAATTTACTCTCTTGTGAAAAACAAGAGTGTCATATTACCCATTGTAACTAAAAAATAAAAGTATCTCTTTATATTTGCATGCAACAAGAACAAAACAATCGTCACCTGCACTTACTATTGTAAACGTTAGAACTGTTTCAAACCTAAATAGTCTCGTCTCCTCTAAAACATGTCCTAAGAACTAGAAGCGAAGATTCGTGACCTCTAATTGAATTTACTCCTTGTGAAAAACAAAAGTATCAAGTTACCTTTGTAGCCAAAAATAAAAACATCTTGTTGCATTTTCATACTACGAACTCACGAACTGTTTCAAACCTCAAGGCTCATCTCGTTCGTAACTAAAATCCTCAGCCTAACCCTGAACAGAAAATGTCGAAGTAAGCCCAACATATGAATACTTCCTCCTCTTTTATAGAAGAATAAATATGGCCGTTCTAAATTGTGTCGGGATCAAATCTTCTCACATACCATTTACCTTTACAACAAGAAATTTGATTGGCAGTTTATAGTAGATCCAATCTGATTGGTGTGACAAACATCTCTCACTCACTTACTCATCCATTGACCCGTCCATAACATACCCGACGCGCTGACTAAGAAGTATTTTTTTTACCAAAAAAATAACTCAATAAACAGACAAGAGCACCTACATAGCTCCTCTCCCTCCAAAAGCAAAATGTTGGACCATGTAATTTAAACATTTTCATTTTTCATGAATACAAATCAACACAAACCCTGGGATCCCATTCATTCAAGGTCTTGATATTGATAAACGATTCTTCTCCATTAGGGCCAAGCATCATGGCATCATGTTCACATCTCACAATCAGTTCAATTCCATCTCCAAGGTTCCACTTACGATACCTGCAAATGAACTTCACGCTTCAGTCTGAAAAGTTTTAATAAACTACTACACAAAGACAACTAAACGTTCCTTGACAGTTAGTTCATCAATTACCTCTTGTAATCACTGGAGCAAGGGAATTCAGTTATATAACACAAGTAGATTAATACGCCAATGGGTGGCAGAAGTCTTGAGACTGTTAACAATAAAAATCTAAAAACGTTTTTGCCCTTGCCCCAAAAACATTGTTGGTTTTTTACACTCGAAGACTGTGAGGACCACAGGCCAATTTACCCAACAAAAACATTTTCGCATGGCTCGGATAAAAATTGTACGCGTACAAAAAAGGAAGGGCACAAATAAATTAAGTTGTGTTAACGGTATTTCGAAGATACATGTACATGGATACACAGATAATCTTTATTTCTAGATAGAAAATCTTTACTTAACCACGGTAAAAAGAATTGTCAGCTAAAAATACCTGATACATAATACATAATACCTAATGCCTAATACCTAAAAACATAATTAAAATTTATTGGTGTCAAGCCAAAATTTCACCCGTGCTTAGACTACCTATCCAGTAAGAACAAGCGTGTGAAATTTTGGCTTGCCTCACAAAAAAGTCGTTTACACAACAATTTATCTGTGCCAAGCAACGTTTTTACGCACGTGTACCATTTATGTCAGAACAGTGCCAAAACAATTTTGTCAAGTAAATTGACCCCACAACACCTGCAAAACACTGAATTGGAATGCAAAGAGTATGAGAGAATTATCGCTAGATGCATTTGAAATAGAATAAGGGGTTGAATATTGGTGTCTCGGGATAATGAGTTTCATTGCTCTATTACATGTATAATACAATGAAGTCTTAATCCCAATTCTTTCAGCTTGGTTGCATAGCTAGAAGAGTTCTCATTTTAATTGCATTTCTTATTACAAAAAAGGAATCAAAGTGGCCGTGAGCCACTCAACTTGGAAAATGGATCGTCTGCAAACAGTGGAAACTGTGATGCCACCAAACTGAGTTTTTAATCCGTTGGCCATATATCATTATCGAGCTAACTAACTGTTCCCTTTGTGCCACGTGGCACATAGGGCATATGTATCGAGCTAGAGAGGCAAAAAATGAAGTCACAGCCTATACTGGCAATGTTAAGAAACAGTGCAAAACACAACTGTCAGAGAATACGGGAGACGTGACACCGCAAATCCTTGTCCGAGACGGTTACTACAAGGAAAGTACCGATTCTTCTCCGATCACCAAAGCTAAGCTTACTGAACGCATGACCAAGTAATAAAATCCCTGTATTTTGGGTTCTCATTTTTTTCCTATTTTTAGTCATATACACAATGTAAGTGATTTCCTTCCCTTACATTTACTTTCCGACGGCTTCTTCATCTTTAGCGTAGCCCGTCCATTGCCCTTTGTGATAAAGTTTGAGAGCTCCATCGATTTCAAGTTGCATATAATTTATGTCTTTGATGAGATCTAAAACTGATCTTCAGCTAAGCATTCACGATCGTACGTTCTGGCCGGTCAGTTTCAAGTGTGGCCTTCAAAATCTGTGATCTTAGAAATAAAGTACTGTGTTCAGCATGGAATCCGGCAATACCACAAGGAGAGCACCTCATCTCGTCCGAAATGAGTTAAGAAAAGACGTTATATTGACAATTAGAATCACGATAAACACCCGCATGAGTTATGAATTGACACTGGAATGCTTGAAAATACATGACAATTATATAATAGCTTAGTCTAAAGTATTTTGTGATCTCCCGAGTAAGGTTCTTTCCTTGTACTTATTAGTCTAGTATTCTTTACAAGGTTATTTGGCTTGTCGATTTTACACAAGTTTCCGGGCTGCTCTAAGAGGAGACTTGACGTCTCCAGGGAGTGACAGTACAAGAGATATGTCCCACCTCCAGATTTTTATAGGACAAACTTAAGTGGAATTGGTATATGGTTTTACTTTCTTAATAATAAATGAGCCATCAAAAAATAAGAATTCATTCTTTAAAAATAAGAATTCAGAAGAAAGTTTACAAGGTTAGCGAAATTTAGAAGAAGGAACATGTGATATTAGAGAGACGATAATCTTAGAGAAGTATAAGGCAAGAGAAGAAGAAAAGGACAGGAGTGAGAAGTAAGATTTCTTTTAATAAAATCTAAGCGTTGAATTGTTGTCTGTGGTTGACAAGGAGTACCCCACTCAGCGAGCTAGTCCCCGAAGAGAACGCTACCTCCACGCGGTCTCCTTTTCCATTGAATTGCATGCAGAACTCCCAGCCCTGCGTAATGTCTCTTTCTTTTTTTCGTCAACTATTCGTCCATATAATCTTGCCATCTCCAAATTTATTTACAGTTATTGTACAGAAAAAATACTGTCCGTTTCTCGTCTTAAACTATTTTATTCACGGCTATACTGACTTTGATTCGGAACTCACTTGAGCCTGCTGTGCGAAATACCCAGCATTTCAGTGCATACACAATTCACGTATATTATTAACATTTTCACCTGACTAACGGATTGTACAAGTGGCAAAGTGGGATAGTTGTCGGCCCCATAAGCGGGAATAAGCAAGTTCCAATCTCAGAGGAAGCAAAAATCCTTTTTTCTTTCCTTTTTCGGTTTTTTTAACCCATACGTTTATGTCAAGAAGCCATTTACCGAAAGGCCACATTTGTCTTTCCATTTCCCGTGTTTAAAAATTGTCTGGAGCTTTTAATCAATCGATCTCGATTGTCATCGAACTCACAATATGCTAGCCACTAGTATCACGTGGGTTTACGAAAAAAAAAATACCCATGAAGACTTTCCATCTAAACAAATCGCCACGGAAGAATCATAATTCTTTTCCTTACAATCGAAAATCGTTTCACCTTGTACCTCTTGAAGATAACCAACTTGACACGGTGCAAGCGACTGTGCTTATGTCAACAGAATGCTCCAAACTCAGGGGGACTCCCATATGAAAAGGTCCAGAATGCTCGTTGTCTCGCTTAGGGGTATAAATCAAAGTTTTTGATCTCACTTAGGATGTTGAGGACGAAATGCCAGTATTTTTAGCTGTCAAAGTATCTTTGCAGGTGCACTCGAAGAAGTAATAATTGAAAAACGCTCTTATTTCCGATTTTAATTTTACGCTCGATTTCCGAAGGTCTCTCGAATCCGGTCTACTAGTTCGGGCTCCTTTCCTGAACAGAGGCTTGTAATCGAGCCTGTTCCATTTGAAATGTTATCTTTTAGGAATCAAATAAAGCTCAAGCCATGCTCAGATTGGTCTCCTTTGGGCGTTTAATTCAAATTTTCCAACAAGAATCCCCGACCCCCCGGTACAAAACGTCTAACAAGAAGTGGCACAGTTATGGAGTGATGGTGTGAAATCGCTCCACACACTCCGACAACTTAAAAAATAATATTTTCCAAGTTAAAAAGGAAGGCATTGTTGATGCGGGAAATATGAAAAACCTCATGGAGGTAGCCATGGAACATCTGAAGACGCAAATTTTGAAAAAAGTGAGGAAGTAAAGACAATTTTTTAGTGACGAATGAATTTTTCATCAAAATTAAATGAACGTTATGTTCAAGAGTCTGAAACAAAGTAATAAAACATATTGGATCCGTTACGGGTTCCATTTTAACTGGTTTAAATAACAGTGGAAAATGAGCGAAAGTAAAACACCAGCGGGCTCGAGCTAGGCATGCACAATTCAACCAGAAGTCCGATATTTTTGAACTTTGAATCGGATCTTTCCAGGGTCGCTCGTTTCCGGACGCTGGTCAAAGGAAACGAAGACTCTGGGTACAAGGCTGGCTGGAAATATAGCGTCCCTTAGGTCCGGTTCATACGTCGCATTTCTGCCGTGTCGAATTCAATTCAACGAATTAAATCCAACAGAAATTCGACGTCTGAATCGGCTGCCGCATTTCCGCCGCACGTTCGACTGGTCTTGTCGCATTATCCGACAGAAATGCGACACCGATTCAGACGTCGAATTTCTGCCGTGTCGAATCTAGTGCATACATGTGAATGTTTTCCCGCCAAAGAAAAAGAAGAAACTTGGCCATTCTCGACCTAATGCAACCTGAACATATTGCAACACATGCTGCTCCGTTGTCAGCCTTCTCCTTCTCTTTCCATTGGCGGACAATTTTTAGCAAAATTAAAGTCCTTCGTTGCTCGGTATTTTCGTCCGGCATATTGAATACTCTAAGTTTAAAACATTTTCCGCTGGCCGACATACCCGACAGTATAAATTCTGAATTAAGTGCGACACACGTGCGACGTATGAATCCACAGTCGCATTTCTGCCGCACTTAATTGAATTGAATTCGACACGGCAGAAATGCGACGTATGAACTGGGCCTTACAGAGCACGCGCGTTACTCATATTACGAGCCTGTAAATAGCTACTGGCACCATGTTTGTACTGTGTTTACTCTTGTTCGCGCATCGATTCTCATTAGTCAAATCTTAGGACATGTTTTACAGCCCTTGTTCTTGACACAGGGACGAAAGGCATCCTTCCTCACATAGTCTGCTTGCAAAGTTAACAAAGTAAATTGCAACTGTATGCATGCTATTAGGCTTGAAAAAAGACCACAATTGAAGTTGTTTAGCCCTCCATTCGATTAACCCCTAGCCAGACTCCCATAAAAAAAAGGCGGGGTTGCTCGTATGAAATCTCGATCGAGCGATGAAGCTGAAACCAACAGGCCAGGAAAGTATTGTTGGAAAGGACTTTTAGAAAGTCTAGGCGACCAAGTGTTTGTTAACCATTTAGAACAGGAAATCAGCTGGGCCATGGCTTGGGCAAATGGTCCATAAAAATCCTGAATGGATTTCAATACTGTATGAGATTTGGCGAGCTACATTTCCTAGAATTTACTTAGAGCGCCTAAAATTGAGCTGGGTAGCTGTGTGTATGGGTTGAACCTGGTGAATGGCCAATTAATCGGTGAGTAATGGTAAACATCACAACACATTGGAAATGTTGGACAAGCCGGCTTTCAGGACATTCCATTTATGTTGGAAATGATTAGGCTGGACAAGACAAAATAGTCTTACCTGCAATATATGTCGACAGAAAATTCCAGAATTTGTTGGTAAATGGACAACTTGTCCCCCCAAAATGGAGACCAGTCACCACAGGTGACCGGGTAACACTATCATAGAGCATATGATTCTTGGTCACATCAGTCAAAAAAAGGGTTTAAAATTGCTTCAAGGCCAAGGTTTGTGGGGGAATTAATTCCATTTCCTTCATGTAACTTATTTAGTACTATTAGTACTGAAAAGCCCCCATGGGGAGTGCTAATAAAATTTGTATTGTATTGTATTTGTACTGTAAACTGTGAAATAACGTGAGTGTAATATTTGAAACACCCTTGAAGTTCACACGAATGATTTTGACAGATTAGTTTGTGCATCCTCATACCTGTATGCCACAGATGCTACTTGACCTTCATCATCATCAGTAACAAACGGGTTTGGATTGGGAAACACCCTTTTGTCTGGGCCTCTTTTCAAACACTGCTGTGAGAAGTTTTGATTGATGAATGTTGCTTCAAGGCCAAGGTTTGTGGGGGAATTAATTCCGTTTCCTTCATCAAAAACCACGTCATGGGCAGTTTCACTCACTGTTAGCAAATCTAAGAAAACAAAGACTTCATCGACAGCACACCCAAAAGTGAAAAAATAATAAAACTGCTAGATGCAAAAGTACATTTTGTAGGATGGCTTAGGCATGGCCTCCAGTCTTTTTCAGCTGTTCCAAAAAGGTATAATCCCTGCACAAGCTAGAATGAGAATAAAATCTGTAGCGTACATTGACTTTTAAAAGGAAACTCACACAAATACATGTATATATTTTTTCATTTCATTTCAACACCTCTCAACTTACCAAATTCAGAATCATCTCTCTTATCAAAGAACAACTTTGATCCAACACGCTAAAGCAACAAGGAGAAACAGATATTAATACTGTATACTTTGGACCACTAGTTTACTGGACAAAGAAAGGAGTCTGATCTCATAATGTTGGTCAAGATGTCAGTCATTGCATCAGCTGGCACACCACCAACACACTACTGACACTAATGTATTGATCAAGGAGACATTGACATCCCAAGCATACCACAGGAATTTGGTTACCGGTAGTCGATACAACCTGGGGGTGGGAATTTGACATCACTGACTGATATTGGGGTTCGCAAATTCAGGTGACACTATCTGATATGGGAGGGATAGTTTGTTTTGACATTTCCTCCGCATCAAAAAAGGCCTTTAAATCAAGGTTGTTGGCTTCCAGGTCGGCTGGCTCAAATATAGTGGTTTCAATGCAGTTTTCTTTGTGCAGTGTATTCAATTTGAATAATAAAAATGTTAGTGCAAACATTGTTCGTGAATTATTAGGATTTACCTGTAATCGTTCACTAACAATGAACTCGAAATTTTCAATACTGCACGAGGCTTTGCCGAGTGCGGTGTTGAAATTTCTCGTACATTGTTAGTGAACTCGTGCAGGTGAATCCCGATAATTCACTCGCTGAGTGCGTTAACCTTTAAATAATTACAACAAAAAATAGTGTTCCTGCTCCAGAATCATGATTAAAATATAAAAAAATTTCCTGTACTCAGAGCGCGATAAAAATCTTTCTGAAAGTGGAATATTTCCTTCGGCTCAACTGAACTTCCTCAGGCACAATAAAAATGTGAATGTTAAAAAGGGTTATATCATGTTCATTAGGGCTTCAAGGGGGCTAAAATCGTCATAGATGTTAGCTAACTCGAAGCCATTGTCTCTGTTCAAAAGACTTCTGTAATCTGATCTCGATAGCCTCCCTTACGAGGCGTTTGAACGTGTAGCTTTCCACGGCAAGAACTTTTGTTTTGCTAGAATCCACTAAATGTCCCGTGAGCTGGCAATGTTCACGAACAGCTGATGAATTCCCTGAAAGTTGTTCCTCTACTCTAGTTTCTAATAAACAAGAAGTTTCGCCAACATATTCTTTGTCATAAACCTGAAATATTCCACTTTGAGAAATCTAGCTTAACGGATTATTTCTATTGATATTTGAAATGCCTTAATTTTCCTGATCCTCCTCGTCATCAGAGCATTGTTCATCAAGAATCTCCTCCTCCTCAGCNGTATGTGGCTCTGTAGACGAGAAAAAAACTGTACCACACTGATGATGCTAGAATGCATAAATTCTATGTTATGTTCTACTACAAGGAAATGTACACAACATTTTTGTGTGATCCTGTAGGTAATGTATCTTTCTTATTGTACAAAAGACACTAGCACAGACTAATCTTCTGCACATGCATTAAGAACAAATTGCTTTGTTCTAGGAAGAATAATTCTGAGAGCAAACAATAATTTTCATATATCTTTGTGCTATTCACTAATAAGGTACCACACCTGTTATGCAGTGTATACAGACCAACGTCAGACTATACCTGCACCCAGTGTGGGAGAGACTGTCCCTCCCTAATCGGCCCGACTAGTCACACCCAACACTGTCCTAGAGCCAGTACAAACACCCAGAGCGCGTATCCATAGTCTCTCGAGACTGACAGATGCCCATTATTAGTAGTAGTAATAGTGATTGGACCACGTGGAGTACAGTAATTATAAAGACGCCGCTAGGAAAACCGAGTGCTTTTCTGCAAACGTAATATCTCGAAAACGAAGCAAACTTAAGCGGAAAAATTACGGGACATTGCTTACCATACCTAAACATACCAATTGTAAACAAAACTGCATGCGAAATTTGGAGGTATTCGACAGAGCTCACTTTTGAGCAACATACCTAATGCTCTTTTTCAGCCGAGTCCTTCAGATAGACGAAGCCAGGGCCTTTGTTATGATAAACCGAGCCGATCCTTTGTTATAATAAACCGAGGCGCGCCTTTGTTATAAGTCAAAGTCACTCTCTCCTCGGTTTATTATAACAAAGCCCGGCATCGTTTGTGTGAAGGGTTCGGTGGAAAAAGGGCGTTAGGTATTTTGCTCAAAAGTCAACTTTGTCAAAAACGCTCCAAATTTCGCATGCGTTTTATTTTAGGTGTGTTAAACAATGTTCTGTATGTGTTTTTGCTGAAGTTTGCATCGCTTTTGAGATATTACGTATGCAAAAAAACTTAGATTTGTTGCCACTTCAGCGCGCGACCACAAGGACGTTCATTTCACTTGAAATACAGCGAAATGTTGATTTCTCGCAACGAGTAACCTTAAAAAATATTGATTTCGGGTCAAAACAGTTAAAATGTTGATTTCACGTTAACGCGCGACCGCGAAAACTTTGCTTTCACTTAGAAAATAGCAAAAAGCTAACTTCACGAAACGCATAAGCTCAAAAATGTTGATTTCAGGTCTCGATAGGTTAAAATGTTGATTTCACGTGAACGCGTGACGGCAAGGATGTTGATCTCACTTAGAAACCAGCAAAATGTTAATTTCATCAGAACGCGTGACCGCAGAGATGCTCATTTCACATAAGGGCAGTAAAATGCTCAAGGCTCTAGCAGCAGTCAATATAGGTTGAATTCACTACTAAATAGTCAAGTTTGTTAGTTCCACTACGAAAAAATAATTAAAAAATAAACAATTATTAAACAAAAATAATAATAACGACAATAACAATACCACCAATACCACCACCAATACCACCACCAATACCACCACCAATACCACCACCACCACCAATACCACCACCACCACCACCACCACTGCATTCAATTATAATCATGTAAGGTTGAATACCTGAACTATAACATCCCATGAGTAAACAGAACGTGTAGCAGTCATAAGCGTAGCTGTAATGGCATCAGTTGTAAAAACATTTCCTTTTGAAAGTAACTGAAACAAAAAGAAGTGGTACACACATGTATATTTACACAGTAGCGTTTATCTTTACCCAAGACCCTACGTAGCACCCTTTTGGATCCATTCTGGCATGCATTGTGCATGATTTTCGCCAAGTCAAATCCAACACATGCTCATGGGATAATCACTTAATAGATAGCGAGCAAGGTGCACAGAACTGGCCATAATCATCTCATATCCAAGAAGTGCAAATGGAATAATTGTTTTCTTAACAATGCCCGCAAAATACAGAAAACTAAACTAAAATACATTGTAAAAAATAAAAATGCCCCAAACAATTATGCATACGTTTTCCATATTACTTTGTAGAGCATGGCATAATGGCTCATATACCATGATATTGCTAAGCCAATGAAAACTCTTGAATAGCATTATCCAGTGATCCAGTTTTTGATCATGTCTGTTATGCCACGGTTCATAATAATTATTGGTATCCACTGTAGTTAGGAAATGAACCTACATGTACAGTTATGATGCAAGTATGTGTTCATTATCACCACCGTCTGATCACCATCACCATCATCATAATTTTCATCTGTTGGTCAGAGTCTAACTGGGCAGCTTCTATTGTACATACCTTCCTGATAATAGGGTCATCTGTGGTTGTTACTTTGTGGAAGATTCTGTTTACTCCAGCTAAAGGCACTTCATTCTTTGTTGTTACACGATCGTAACTCTTTTCATAATACTCTAAGCTACCACAAACATACCTAAAAACAGAAAAAAAGGCATTTTAGCTTTCATTTTAACTGCACACTGATCCACTAAATGTCTTACCTTATTATGAGGCTTCTTGAGCGATCTATGTACATGATAATTCTTTAAGAGCCACTGCCTGTAAATATGGAGAATCCGACGACAGGTCGGAAAATTCGGATTTTCTTTTATTGCGTCAAAAAGACCCTTTTGGTGAAGTATTTTTCAGAAATATACTTTCAAAGTTCCAGCGACTTCACATTTTTGTGAAATCTAGGAAAGTTCGAAATACCGCTCAATCAATCAAGATGGCCGATCGAATTTATGCAAAATTGCACATTTTCAACAGGCCAGTACAGAAAGAAGAGAGCTTGCCTAGATTTCATATTCACACAGTTTGTAATTTACACTTTGATCATTCCTCTGAGCTAAAAGTCATCTTGAGGTAAATATGTTTTGTCTACTTCTTGGCCGTTTGAAAAATACAACTATCGCAATTTAATTTACATGTAAAATTCAACTGATTTTAGAGGGTCATAACTCTTCTAGTATACGAATTTCTCAACAAATAAAAGGTTCTAAAGGAAGAGCTATGCTGTAGGTATACCATATCTAAATGGCTAGTTTGGCCCGTGAAAATTAAGCGCGCTAGACGAAAAACTATAAAGGGTATTTTGACCAATTGCTCCTTTTTTGGACGAGCGAGCAAGAACTNGAATCAAATTGCCTGTTAGAAAATAAGATGGTATCTACATTAATCTGGAGACATGTAAGATTACTGTAGTTCGTTCAGTCAAACATTTTATGGCTTACTATTTAGCTACCTTACCATGACCGATGTAACATCGCAACCAAAGAAAAAATGTCAAATTAACCAAATCATTACTGTACCATGAATGCTCCTATCTCCGACACTTCACACAAAAAAATAACTCTTGCACGCCTTGCGTACCTATTTTAGATCTGTTACAGTCAAACCCAGAAAAAATATGTCTGGAATGTTGATTGTATTATAACCAATCACGAGCAAGATCCTCAACCACAGAAACCACAGTAAACGGATGTATTCCATCAGTCACGGACTGTAATTGGCTTAAGTATTATTATGAAGTTAATATAACTATAACAGTGTGTAGTTCCAGAAAAGATCCATACCTCCCCCAAGGAAGGGATTTTTTTTTAAGACCACCCACCCCTCTGGAAATTCCTAATACATTTCTTTAAATGTTTTGGTCTTAGAAAAAACCTCACCCCAGGAAATTCTAATCCCTTCTATTGAGGGAGTATAGATATTCTCTGGAACTGCACAATTTCAGTGTAATATTTACAGATTTTCAGGTTCCTCCACATTTGGTAAATTAAGCTTGGAAAGTCGCGGAAAGTCCATTTCACCATCTTCCAGCACTTTCCATTCTTCACGCACTGCTACTGAGGGTGCCCTCTTGTGTATGTTCTGGAACAAGTTAATAAGTTAGAATTGTAAAATGTTTTATTGTATATTGCAAATGTAGGGTACAAAAACAAAAACAGTATCCAGCTGCCTCCAGCATATTACGGCCATACTACAAGTAGGTCTGTGCAATGAGTTGTGACAAACTGGTGAGAGAGAAATGTAGATGTTCAAGGGATTTATCTGTATTTCAACAAACAGGAACAAACTGAGGGGTCTGATTTTCCCCATCTTCTTTAGTAGGTTGTTTGTAACTAAACAATATTTCTTCACTACTCAATACTAAAATTCATGTGATTTTGTCTTTAAAGATACCTACAATGGTAGCTTGTAAGTTTCTTTCCATTACAGAAGAAAATTTCCAAAGATTTCCATGTACCTCAGTTGTGCTGTTAAGGTAGGTAAGATAAACTATACACTGCATACAAGCCAAGTGGCCTATCAGGCCAGAGCTTATTCCAGTGACTGTACATGCAGCATGAAGCCACTAGGAATATTTCTAGTCCCCCCTGGATGGAATGCTAGTCAATCACAGGGTTATCCCCAGCATTAAATTTGCCAGTACTCATTTGTACTCTTGGGTGTAGAGGGGCACTGTGAGAGTACAGTGTCTTGCCCAAGAAAATCTCACAATATTCCAGGCTACAGCAACAGAGCTCAAACCCAGACCACTTGATCCTGAGTTGAGTGCACTAATCATGAGGGCACTGCACCTCCAATAATTATTGTGCTGTTAGCTGAGTTATAATTTATTCTAAATCTTAGTTCTGTACAAATGCCTTCGGAGAAGGCATTACTGATCATGGTATGTTGTCCATTCAAGAGGTGGATCTCATTTTAAGAATACATAATCACTGACTGATGCCACTGTAATGAAATAGCATTTATTAGGGTTGTGATTTCAAAAGCATCCATTTGAGAATTACTTGCTACTATGATGAATTTCGCATCTTTCTGATCTAAGCCATTTTAAAACATAAACAAGTAGTCTATAATCTCTCTTTTTGTTCCAGAGATATTCAAGTGAATAAAATATGCAAATTAGTCACTCGATGAAATTTTGATCAAATCTCTGCAGCCAATTCGTATCAGAAATATTTTATTTTGGGTGGAAGGATTCTACTAGATGATCTCCACAATATGAGTGCAACATCTATGTCACCATGGCAACATACTAGGTTCCAGACCTCCCAGATATTGAAGACTTTTCTGGCCACCTTTGGCATTACATTTTGATATTTGCCAGTGGTACCTCATTAGCACGATCCAGCAAGCATAGAAATATGTTAGGTCGAGTTTGTGATCTTGTTTAATGTTTTTTCAAGCTGAAAATCATTGAAATATTAAAATCAGGTCGGGGGGGGGGGGGAATGGAAAAGAGTGAGTTGCCATGGGAACAGGCCTAGGTATGTAGTCTCCCCCTAGAGCATGGCATGACATTCCAAAAAACAGCTGCAGAGACTACTAGGCGTGTTGCCTGCAGAACTATTAGCCTGCCAAGTTTCAATGGTCTTTAATTTGCTGCAAATTGACCTAGATAGCTTTTTTTTTATATACTCAATGTAATATTGGGTTGAGTGTATGATGTCATCAGTTCCCTAATTTGTATATATTGCACTTTTTTTAAACTTAATTCTCTCTGGAGGTAATGCAGATATTTTGCAAATGGTAAACAGTGTTTTTAATCTTTCGTGGAATTCTATGTGATACAATTAAAAATTCAAGGGGTAAAAATTTGATCATAGTGGCACTTTAAAGTGCCTATGAAGTCTATCTTGCACTGATTCTTAATTTTCCTAATTTTGCTCTGGTCCAGCACATAAAACAATTTTTCTATCCCTCCAAAATTGCCAATGTAACAATAAATTCTGCACACACAATGGCCACGCAAAATGAGCTATGCTATGGCAAAACTGTAAATGAAGAAATACATCGATTTTTATCAATTGACTTCACCTGGAAATACTCTCGCTCACTCACTCGCTCGTTTGTGATCAATACTTGCCCACTCGTTGGGTGTCTCGAAAACTCAGACCCTAAAAATACAGGTAAAACAATTCTGTGTTTCCTGCAGATTGCTTCAAGATGTCTTTTTCACTGTTCGTCAAGGCAATGCCCTTTGTATCTGAAGAACCTATACGTTTGCGAATATCCGGTTCTGCAATATGACACTATTTGTTTTGCAAAATTGTCATGTAACATGTGCTAACTAAATTTGGTTCGAATGGCTCTAAATAGATAAATTTCAACTGATAAATTTGGTCAATACTTATAAAGCAACCAAAAAACAGTATGAATGTTGGGTATTATTTTTGTGATCCTAACACCACTGGCTGTTTTATCATCTCTCTTCCTCTCCCTGCAGATTCTCCATATGACATTGTATAAATGAACAGTAAAAACTCTAAATAAGACGTCCTGAAGCAATCTGCAGCAAACACAGAGTTGTTTTATTTTTTGGGACTGAGTTTTTGAGACAACCAGAGGATCTGAGTTTTCGAGTCTGAATTTTCGAGACATCCAGCAAGTCTGTAAGGGCCTGAGGTCTGGGTTTTCAAGCTCTGAGTTTTTGAGACACCCTGCGCTCCTTTGCTTCAATCACGAATTGCTCAATGTTCATGTCACTTAGGTTATTATAAAAGCATTTGTCGAAACAAATTTGCCTATATTTGCTATCACATTCTCGCATTGGGATGATTGTGGTAACATATCCTTATATTACACGCCTGCGGGAAATCATGCATGCTTGCAAAATCACACAAGTCACGATGATATGAAGCAAATAATTATTATTTCAATTGGAATCTTCGTCCACTTTGTTGCTGTTCCTGTGAAGAATAGATAGTACAACAACTGAATCTTTATTTAGACATGACCTTTGCAGAGGTTCTCTAATGTTTAAAAGCTGTCGATAGCAACCTTGTTCGAAATGTACAGATCATAACATGGACGCATTCGTCACTTTGAATTGAGCTGGCATCTCCAAACTGGCTTCTAATATTTCACATGGTCATGGAGCTCCAAATATCAAGTAAATCTGTGAAATTCCACAAAATTCACAAAAACATGCAAAAAAAATACTGCGAAATTCACTAGAAATCGTACCAAATACATTTTGTTACAACTTGAAGCTTATCTTGGCTGTTGACACTGTTAAATTGCCTTAAACTTGCAAATTTATCGTGAAACTTCGTCACTGCAACAAGTTATCAACATCCCAAAAACTACCAGGCGTTCTTAGATTAATGTTGTAAAAACCTGGGCACTCCTTGTGGCCATGATGTAGAAAGCTTTGCCATTGGCGCATTTCTTGAGTGCATTGCTGTTAGAAGAGCAAATGATGATCTCTGGTTTTCATTTGAGCGTTGAAAAGTAATTGGTTTTGCATCAACTATGCTACACAATTGGCTTTAAAAACTCGCGCCACTTTTTCATCCAATCAGAAGTAAAACCAAAACAAATTGTAACACACTTGCCCTTGTTTTCCCGCGCTTTGCGTCAGCTACATGTAATCACTTCGAGCTTTGACTGGTTCAATGATATGTCTGTGTCCTTTGTGATTCCTAGAATGATCACACTGGTTTTGGATTAATGACACTCAATTGAAAACTGCTCTATCATTTTCCAAAAAAATGGCAAAACTGCTGTCTTTTTAAGTTAAAAATGTTCATGAAAACAGTGTAAAACCAATTGCTTTCCAACAAAATTTGCCCAGAAAATTCCCACAAAATTGGCCATTTTTTACTGACTGTTTGTCAGCAAAATTTGCTCCGAAAATTTCCATGAANTAACAGGGACCGTTCAATATAACAGGATTCTGTTTAATATATTAATTTTCACTGTTTAAAATAACTGGCTGGGTTACATAAATAACTTTATTATTAATAATAATGACCTTATTATGAGGCATTCATTGTAGAGCTTCCACTGCACTCACAATACCACCATTACTGATTTGCAAACCTCTATAAGATTTTCAACAACCAAAAAACAATTACGAGCACTTACAATTGGCTTCCTGTCGTGCCACTGGCCACGCCCATAATTACGTTGCATCTTCCGTGAGAATTTTTGCCTGTTCTGGTTCTTTGATAGACTTTGCATTCCTCCTGCAGGATATCGCTGGTTCCGCTGGTCTCTCTTGACATTTCTCTAAAATAACAAGGAAACGATACAAAAGTTATTGTTATGTGGGAAATACACCCAACCAAGAGCCACATATTGCCAAAACACTTGATCTGACTAGGGATGCATTGAAATTTGAGTGAAACAAAATTACTGTTTCCCTCAGAAGCAGTATTGACCATAATGTTTTTTCACCGCGTCTGTTACACGTACAGTGCAGCTCAGATATATGCGAACTACGCATACACGTATTATACGAGCGTATTTTGCGTATACACGTATGTTGATACGCGCACATATACGCGTATATACGAGCACATATGCACGTATATACATGCGTATATGTCTCTTTGTTATGCATTCCCATAAGTTTGTTTANTGCGTTCACCTTTTTCCCTACTTTCCCGTGGAGGGTCACATTTGACTGGTACTGCAAATGTATGCATGTATAAATTTGCATGCACAAATGTGACACAAAACAGAGAAATAGAGCCCATTTTATAACTCATGCGCCATACTGCGAATGAGTAACTAGTATATAAATGTGCCTTTGCAGTCTAAAGCAGGATAATGGTATCCAGATATGGACTTTGTACCTAGATTTCATACCAGTCCATTCTCTTTTTGTGTTTCCAAATGGATCGGATGTTCAGTCTAACTGTACTGATTGACTTACCTGTCCAAATCTGTTCCTGTTCCTTTGGTAGAGAGGACGCTGAGGACGTGAAGTATCCACAAGCTGAAACGATGATTCATCCTCCTCGTGGTAATATGAGAACATTTGATTTCCTGTTCCAAACTGAGACTGGTACTTATCTAAAATAACATAATTCACATTATATAGAGCAAGACGCTTATAGAGAAGCTTAAAACTATGCAATGAAATTTAAAAGTAAATTAATTCCCTCAAATACAGCGAAACCCCGTTAACAGGATAACCAGTGGACCATGAAAATTTAATGGGGTGGCCCTATCAATGGGGTACGGTCACATTTCATGACTGTCTGGTCTATTTTAAGTGATGTCTTGACAGACATCAGAATTGCACTTCTAAACAACTGTTCTCTAACAAGCATTTGAAATGCAGGTTTTTTTTCTTTTAATTAAACATATTCATTAATGTTTTCCCCA